TAGTACTAATACTAAGGAAAAAAGGACTTAACTGAACTTTTGGGAGCAAAATATGTGCATTTTTGGGCTGATTCAGAATCAAAATCTTTTTTTTTGTTGTTGTTGCAAATCAGAAAAAATTGAAGAGGCAAATCCTAGAACCAACAAATTAACATGGTGTGGCCTAAGAAGAGCTTTTCATAACCTCGAAGTCCAGACAGTTGTACTGTATGATTATGATGTATCTCACAGATGTAGGATAAAGTAGAGACCAGCCTTCTACCCCGAAGATGGTATGCAGGTACACAAGGTTAAATTCTTCCTTGGTATGCAGGACCAAGATTGCATAGTTCATCCTCAAAACCAAGTCAGTGCAACCACAGTGACTTCATCATGAAATGGCAAATTATGAAATTTAAAATCCAGTAAGATATCAATGTGACAACCGCTGATTTAAAAGCAAGGATACACCTGTCGTAACAAAACCGAAATTAAACTATTTTCACTTGTGCATGTAGATTTGATTTTGGGGTGTTCAGAAGTGCATAATATATGCACCCAGTTAATTTTAGACTTGGGAAGACTTGTTTACGCGACATTTTTGGCGGGAAAGTTGAGTGGATTTAATTATGCACACGTGCGGTACATTCCAAAATGTGTTCACTGCACCAAACTGCGGATATTAAAAATGTGTTCCTTTTTTAGCAGCGAAATTTGCACCTCTGGCTTTTTTTCAAAGCCACTCAACACGGAAGAAATACATTCAGTGCCTCCCAAACCACGATATTCAAGAAAAACTCCCTATCAAAAATACAAGCCCTATTAGTGAAAATACCGTTCCAAACGCAAATTTCTACGGAATATAACGATTAACACAACGATATATATCGTGGCCTGTTGCTACTGGTTTGTTGGAAGTTTATTTAGGTAGATAGTTTGTTGTCTTACCTACAAAAAAATGAGTCTTCTGTGGGGTCTTCCAACACCACGCCGTCCTTCCCGCCATTTTTCGTTTCTTGTCCAAACTTTACCCTGCCAGTAATTGCACATTTTCTCGCTCAAACATCCAAAGAACCGCATAAATCCATCCCGGAAACGTTCCTACGATGTACTGTACACTTTGACGCATAAGTTGCTGACAACAAGCCGAGAATTTACCCTAAACTTTGGAGAGAATTCTCGCACAACACGCCGCAAGACAACGTACATCCCTGCAGTAGAGCGGCTTCTGGTGTGTCGAATCGGTTGCCCATATTTGGGCATGAAGTTAACGTAATTATTGCTTCCAACCAATCAACAACGAGCAAACATAATTCATGAACCAATCAGCATCAACGGCTCATCCTCGTTGCAAAACGTCACTAGAATTATGACCAATCAGCATTAAGGATACATATTAGATGTAAATTTATGGCCTTTAGTGCCATGGATCAAAAGCGACTTCTAGCAGTCGTTGAAATTATTGCAGAAAAAATTTTCTCATTACCTGCAATAATTACACGGATTATACCCCATATAACGAGGGCGTGAGGTAGTAAACTTGGCAATGAAAGGCGCTGGTCTTGCCAGGAATGAAAAGATAAAGAAACAGACATACCAGCAAGCAGTTAACTACTTTATATATAACAAGTTGTTGGGAGTAGCGACAAAACGGGGCAAATATGAAATGGTAACGATCTTCCACATCAACAGCTGCTTGGAGAGTTGGTGGGGGTAGCGACAAAAAGGGGCATATATAAAAAGGTAACGACCTTCTCTATTAACCTCTGCTTGGAGAGTAGCCTCAATACTAGTATACTGTTTTAGCTGCAAAACGTACTCATTTCCACTTTACATACGCATGTATAACGAAAGGTCAAAATAGCTAGCGATTTGTTGGTATGCCTGTTTGTTTATCTTTTCACTCCAGGCGAGACCGCCGCCCTTCACTGTCAAGTTTACTCCCTCAGTTATTTGGGGTGTAACTACGAGGCACCATCACTGCACGTGTCAGTAAGGGCCTCTAGCACCCGGTGTAATTAGTGCAGGCACTTGAGGAATTTTACCTGCAATAATTTCAACGACTGCTAGAAGTCGTTTTTGATCCATGGCACTAAAGGCCATAAATTTACATCTAATATGTATCCTTAATGCTGATTGGTCATAATTCTAGTGGCGTTTTGCAACGAGGATGAGCCGTTGATGCTGATTGGTTCATGAATTATGTTTGTTCGTTGTTGATTGGTTGGAAGCAATAATAACGTTAACTTCATGCCCAAATATGGGCAACCGATTCAAAACACCAGAAGTCGCTCTACTTTCAGGTAAACAAGGTTAAAATGACTGATTTATGACGGATTTCCCGACAAACGGAAGTGTTTGAGCCAATTATGTCCATATAAGCCACAGAGTTGTTTGAGCTGCCTTTATTGAGAGAAGGGGTCGATTTATGAGACAAGAAGAGGCGAAAATGTCCAGTCCACCCGCTAAATCATTGCGAACTGAGGGAGGGGGGCGACATTTCAGCACCAAGGACAGCACCAGTGGTTAAAAACAAATGGTAGAACTATGAGACCATTGCCGACTACTACAGTAAGCAAACTAGTGCTTCCCTGGAAAATATATAAGATTTACATCAGCACATTTAAATTCATTGTTTCTCTTCAGTTGCAAGTTGCGCCGTTTCCTACAAGATGGCAAATTTTTTGCACAACTACCAAATACTCCTATGTTCAGCACCTGGTAACAGGGAACTGTAACTAGTTATATGGTTACTAGCTCCCTGGAATAGGCGTGACGGTGAAGTAAATCATTCAAGTGTAAGGGAGGAGGCTGTTGATAAAGTTCCTTCCGAGGATCTACTGCTTTGAGAAGCTTGGAGGCAAAAGCAGGATTACAATAGGCGGAAACACAAAGAAAGATGCCTGCACACTATCTTGAAGTGAAACTTTTATTTTCTAAACCTGTTCTTAGATTCTACGATCTTAATGTTGCCGTTTGGATGTCAAATGGACACCAACGTCACCATTCGAACTTCTGAACGGTTCAACACACTTTTTTCCTTCACACGTTTTCCTTCACCAAGAAAGTACATCATGACACTAAGTGCCAAAATGCAATGCAAATGTAGCAAGCGAGATGAGTGAATATTGTGAATACAGTATGTTTCCAAAAAAAGATAGACATACAATGGAGACATTAACGAACACAATCTAGAACAGTACTCTAAGATATTAATAGAACATAGAATATGCTAGGACAAAATACTTAATAATACAATGTATATACAAATAGTTAAATTTTTCAGCAACTGGATAACCAAAACAATATATTAAACAGACTAATTCAGCACTATAACCAAGATAATTCATAAATAGAACGTAACCAGCAAGCAATGTTTAAACTGTCAAAAAAGTTTCTTGATTTCCTCAACACCAATTTTGTAAGAACTTTACAGCATATTCTGTCATCTTTACAAGGCAGTGATGTCAACAAAGATGAAATGTCTTTTTATTTGAGAGGGAATATAGGCCCAATCCCATATAAACATGCAAGCCTGTAGCCAGGACTTTGCTGGGGGTGGGGGTGGGGTGGGGGTCCTATTGACGCGAGCTGGATCGGGGGGTCCAGGGGCATGCTCAACCAGAAAATTTTGAAAATTGAACCTTTTGAAATATCCTGCATTTTCCATGTCATGGTCCTAGCTATGGGTATGACATGGAAAATGCAGGCCATTTAAAAAATGTATGGTAAATCATAAATTAAAATATCAAGAAGGTGCAGCCTATGGTGAAAAACAAAAAAAAAAATGGAAATCATTGAGGCCAAGTGAGTGTCAGACTTTTTACCTCCATGAAAAATGGATGTTTTAAGTTAAAACTTTTGGTCCAACACAAAAAATTCTCTCACCTAGAGCTTTCGACCAGTCACTCTGGTCTTCCTCAGTAGACTGACCCAGTGAAGCTTGTCACGTGGCTTCTTTGATGTGTGACGTCAACACTGGACCTAAAGTTTTAACTTTAAACATGTAACTACCAACACAGATAAACTTTCCTGACAGAAAAATGGATGTATTGGTTTTGGCGCGTCTGTGTGTGTGTGTGTGTGTGTGTGTGTGTGTGTGTGTGTATGTGTGTGTGTGTGTTTCCGCACATTTGTAGTCAGCATAACTTCGGATTTATGGATTGTGATGATATTTGGTATGCTGGTAGGTCTTAGGAAGCCAAAGGTCAAGGTCAAATATGGGCCTCCTGGTGGCTGACCTTGGTACTGCAGAAGAACTTCCGAGAAAACAGATGTGCGGGGAGGAGGCAGCGCCTGCCCGGGTTGATTAATGAGTTTCTCCCACGGGAAAAGCCTACATGACCATATCCAGGCCAAAGGTGCTACTGTGTGTTTGAAACCAAAAACCTGTGTTATTTTGTTCTGTACTGTAGTGTAGTGTACTGTGTAAAAACATTTAGAAAAACTCATATATTTCATGGAGGTATATGAGGTCTCCGAATTCTTGTTGGTATTTGTCTTAACTATCAATCTTACATCTTCACTTTTTCTTAAAAGATTTTTCGTAGAAAATCTGAACCGTTATGAAAACTGCTACTTTGTACCTTTGCGTCAAAACTTGAAACAAATGTTTTCAAAGTAGCTGTCTACATCACCCTTATTTCCAAGTAAGACATTCCTATGATGGTGTGGTTTTAACTACACTACACCAAGACCAAGACAAGTCCAATGATAGAAACAGGGGTGGTGCACAGTACGACATATGAATTCTTACTTGCATAGTACGCGTATGTTTCACACCTTGTTGTGAGACACAAACACAAGTCGACTGAAAATCTACCCAAAAAGTTATGCTGTACCATTCTTATTCTAACCTCTTGGGTAACGAAACAGTCAAGAATTATGGACCCCTCCAAAACACCCACCATTGAAAGGTAAATACGGATCCCTTTTCTCACCCCTGTCGGTTAATGGAAAATTCCCAGGGGAATCCCCCTTCCGTAAAGGTGAGTCACGCCGGGGATTTCCGCTGTCGGGAACTTCCACTTCCGCTGGTGCCAGTCGTGAGCTGAGACAGACCATCAGTTTTATCTCTAGATGGAAGTAAAAGGTAAGTTTTTACATAGATAAGGCCACAAACATTTAACATTAACATTACAGCTGACACAACCGAACACTTTACACGCAGTGCGAACCTGTAGCTAGTAGGGATTAGTGCTCCGTAACAAGAATGTGTTGTTGGTTTGCTAGCCTGTCCCCCTCCCCTCTCAAAAATTATAAAAATTCAAATTTTTACATACTCTACCCTTTCTCAATGAATCATTAACAAAAATTCTAAATGTTTCTGGTGCACCTATCTGGGAATGTGTCAACTGCACTCGTGGCATTAGACTGATACGAGTAATTTTACTTCTAGCGTTATAGTATGTTTATGTCACTTGCTCACACAAGACCGCCATTCTTCACTCTTATACGCAGTGGAAAACGTAGATCTTTACGAAACTGAACAGGTGTGCAGATCTGTATGTGTCCTGATCTAGGAAACAAGAACATCATACCTGAACCTCAGTCCTGTTAGACTTACGACGAGGTCATATTCGTCGTAGGAACTCGAACGAATTTCATGCCGACAAATTCTTCAGGCAGATCGTGATAGAACCAACACAAACTACATGACAGCCGTTTCCGGAACAAGACAGTTGGATTTTTGGAACATAATTTCAAAACATATGCATGACTTTCGCAGGAATGACCTTAGTTTGCGATCGTGCGACGATTATATACAACAGATATGATCATGACCCGGCCCTTAAAGTATAACCACATAGCTGTTGTCGATGTGGGTGTAGTACGATACAGGACGCTAACTTGTGAAGACTTAGGTTTCGTGGTTAGAGGTTAGACCAAGTCATGTTCCTCTGTGAACATGCACTGGTTCTACGACTTCAGGGCTTTCGAGTAAGAGGTTATAGGCACAGAAATCAGGTCCATTTTGATAGTCTGCTGTTGTGGCAACAGATGACAACAGGTTGTGTTTGAAGTATCAGGATGCATGACGAACAATATTAGCGCCTGACCAGTCAATGGCGGATGAGTGTCATATTACTGTTTACCTGATATCAGGTTGACCCTGTTAAATATTAGCGTTTAAACGCGTGTTGTTTTCTGGGGTAACGGCTGTGGTACAGTAGATCGGAATAAACAGTATACGTTTGGACCTCCTAGAAGCTTTCTCGGGAACTGCAAGTATGTTACAGCCGTGGGCCCAGGAAAACGAAAGATGGAATTTTCGTGAATATAAAGATTCGTTAACGGAGTCCCAGTGAAAGATAAAATACATCGGCTGCGAGTTAAAGTTTTATAAAGCGTTTTTTAAAGACATGCCCTCGGTGAACCATATATGATTGGTACAATTTTTATTCTTCCTCAGGTCAATGAACCAGAGTGAGGTCGACAAAGATGCGTGTTCATCGGGATATATTAAAGAACTAGATAAGATAATGTGAAGACACTTGCGGACAAAACCGTCTATTTCGTATTTGATACACAGGGAAGACTATAATTGCATAACCAAAGAAAACACTATCAGGAGGAACAAATATGTCACACACCGAGCTGTCTACAGTGGTGGGCGAATTTCGGGAACTAGATTTAATCTTTAAAAGCGGTTCTGATCTGGACGTTGTAGAGAGGGGATACGCACGGAAGCTGGTTCACGCTATAAGTACTCAAAATGAGGTTTTGGAGTGTGAAGCGTTAAAAGGTCTCGGAGACTTGTACCTGCACAAAGCAAAGATGAACAAGCATAAAGCAGAGTACTTCCACAAGGCCTGCTCCATGTACATGGAACTCTTACGGTACTACACTAGTATTGAGGAGAAGCAAGTTGTACAGCATCGCATCAGATATGCAGAGAAATGTACGAAACTGGTCCATGATCAAGAGGTTCTAAAAGCGTGTGTTACGAATACAGGCAATACCATATTGGCTGTGTCCACGACCCTTCACGAAGTGAAAAAGAAGTCCAAGTTTAAAGGATATGGCACGATGCCCCTGGTTCAAGGTTATACAAATTCCTTAGTGAAAGCAATCGTGGAAGGAAACAAACGTTTGGAAATAGAATCCTTGAAGAGCCTGGGAGATGTGTACCTAGAGAAGGGGAGGGTTGGTAAGGACGAGACAGCGTTCAGTAAATCAGCTGGTCTGTACCGAGCGGCGCTGGACCGCTGTGAAGATTCAGACGGCAGAGAAACGCTAAGACACCGCATCAAGTACGCAGAGAAAGTCAAGGAACAAGAACGCAAGGTGAGAAAATGTTTATCTTTTTCAACCATATGATTTTTATATAACATGCTTTATTCGGCCTGTTGCACAGATATGTAGCCAGCTTTATGCGACTGATGAAATAATAAACCGATGTGCTTCTTAAAATGCATGTTTAGTTTATTTAATTGACAATTGGAAATCCTACTTTTCGTTACATGCTATTAGATAGGGTATTATTTACAAATCTAAGCTAAGTTTCCATCTTCATATTATCTTCTTTCCAAGGAAAACCGAGAAACGGGACGGACCAGAAACAAGAAAGATGGAAACAGCAGCAAAGAGAAACAAGAAGGTTTCACAGACAGGTTTGTTTGCTGTCTTTTGACAGGTTAGATAGATGCTCAGCCTATTCATAGTACATTTTAAGTAATACGCTCTGTATCGGCTAATGTTACAATATCCCAGTATCAATAATTGTGACTCCTTTTCTATAGAACGTACCAAGAGCAGCTACAGGAGGGCTGCAGGGCCCTGCAGACAGGAGACCTGGACACGGCAGAACGGAACTTTGCAGCTGCGCTCAAGGCCGTTCATGTGAAAGGCGAGTGATTCCGTGTACCTGTCACATGGTGACAATATAACTTTTATCAAAACCCATAAATTTCAGTAAAGATGGGACATTATGTCTTCCATGGTTTACAAAAGAGAAGTGAAACTCTTCAGACATAGTTTTAGACACATACAATAGTTTTAGACAATTAGATTTTATTATGTACATTCTAAAGTTATCTTAAACTCTGTTTAAATGTTTTTTTGTAACTCAATTTGTAACTTGCAATTAGCCTTCGGGCATGGATTTGCAATAAACTTCTTAAACTTATTACAGCAAGGTAAGTAAAGTCATTATAAAAAGATACACAGGTGTGTATTTGTGTATCACACACTGTGCCAGCTAACGTGCAAATAAGATTTTGAAAAAAAACTCTTGGAGCATAAGTATCTTGCAACGATCGTTTATATCATGTTCCAATGCAGGTCAGCACTCGAAAGAGGCAGAGCCCCTTTGCAAGTTAAGCGATGTCTACCTGAAGAGAGGAGAGAAGTCAAAAGACGGAGGTGATTTCACCAAGGCTGCAGCACTCAGTAACGCAGCACTGGTAAGAGCAAAGGTAGTAAACAAAGAGGGCATCAAACACACAATCCAGGAAATAACACAATCTTTTGTTCAGCACGTTCTGAGTATCGAACAAACGGTACCCACGGATAATATAGAGAAACACAAATCGGTGTTAACAGAATGCCGCTGCTATGTGGAAGAAGAAATCAAAAGAATTGAGCAGCAGATAGATCCTTACAGCCTAGATGACAACGACGCAGAGATGAGGGTGGTAGAGAAGAAGAGAGTAGAAGCAAACAAAGCCTTGTTTGACACTATTGTTCACCAGCGAAAAACATTCATAGCTGACCTTGTAGATGAGTGTATGGAGGTTATGGGCTCCCCTCCCTGCAAGTACGCCATGATAGGCCTGGGTTCACAGGCCACAGGACTAGTAACGCCATACTCCGATCTGGAGTTTGCTATTTTGATAGAGAAGAAAACAGAAAACAGTCTAGAATACTTTCACAACCTCACACATTACCTTCATCTCAAAGTGATCAATCTTGGGGAAACTATTCTCCCGGCCATGGCGATCAAGTCTCTCAATGACTTCGAGTCAAAGAACAAGCTTGACGACTGGTTCTATGACTCTGTAACGCCACGTGGCTTTTCTTTCGATGGGGCCATGCCACATGCATGTAAAACCCCACTAGGCAGAGGTAAAACATGCCTCCTTATTCGCACACCAAGTCACATGGCAAAATTTCTTGAAGATGACGTTAAGCTACATCTTAAGAAAGGCTACCACCTAGCGAGTGTGTTGGGAAATGTATCATTAATTACTGGAGAACAAGGCTTGGTCGATAAATACACCGTTGCATGGAATCAGCAACTGAAGAAAAATGGAAGTGAAATTGCCAGGCTACTAGCAAACACCACGTTGATGGAAAATACCAAGACTTTCGAAATGCAGGATCCGACTTCCCGAATGCAAAATGTAAAGAAAGAAGTTTATCGCTTTTCAAGCCTTGCTATATCTTGTTGGGCAATGCTCTGTGACATACAGCCGACTACAATCTGGGAGACTATCCAGAATATGTACAGGAAGGGTGCCATTAGTGATAAGAACGCACATCACTTAATGGTTCTGGTCAGCATCTCAGCAGAACTGAGGTTGCGAACTTACATGAACAATCGTGGTCAGGTGGAAAACATGTCAGTCTTATCGTCGATGTCAGTCAATGATGACATGGAGGAAAAAACAAAGAGAATTTTTCACTTCTCCAACGTAAAACAGCTCATGAGATACTACTACACGGCAACACCTTTAAAGTACTTTGTTCCGCAACTTAGCAACGGTCAACCAGTAGAAGAGCCCTCGATTCTATTTGACAACTCTTTACTACTGCAAGCAGATGTATACGAAAGTCTGTGCGACTACAACCAATCAAAGACATGCCTTGAACAGGCCCTTCAAACAGTGCTATCAACACACGGAACGGGTGCGATTCATCCTCACATTGACGGGTTGCTTCATAAGATGGGTCACGCCTGGTATTACCTTGGTGATAACAGAAAAAGCCGTCAACTATTATCAGCAGTCATTGCAGATGAAGCGGAGTATCTATGGTAAAGGCAAAGCACATCATAATATCGCCTCGTCACTAAACGACTTAGGTGCCGCCTGGAAGAACCTTGGTGATTACAGAAGGGCCGTCAGCTATCATGAACAGGCACTAGAGATGAGGCGGAGTATCTATGGTGAGGGCAACGCACATTCTGACATTGCTTCGTCACTAGGCAACTTGGGTAACACCTGGAGTCACCTTGGTGATTATAGAACGGCCGTCAGCTATCATGAACAGGCGCTAGAGATGAGGCGGAGTATCTATGGTGAGGGCAATGCGCATCCTGATATCGCCTCCTCACTTAACAACATGGGCAGTGTCTGGAGTCACCTTGGTGATTACAGAAAGGCCATCAGCTATCATGAAACAGGCACTAGAGATGAGGCGGAGTATCTATGGTGAGGGCAATGCGCATCCTGACATCTCCTCGTCATTAGGCAACTTGGGTACCGCCTGGAGTTACCTTGGTGATCACAGAAAGGCCGTCAAATATTTTCAACAGTCACTAGAAATAAAACGTATTATCTATTGTGAGGGCAATGCACATCCTGATATCGCCTCCTCACTTGACAACTTGGGCAATGCCTGGAGTGACCTTGGTGATTACAGAAAGGCCGTCAGCTATTATGAACAGGCACTAGACATGAGGCGGAGTATCTATGGTGAGGGCAAAGCACACCCTGATATCGCCTCGTCATTTAACAACTTGGGTACCGCCTGGAGTTACCTTGGTGATCACAGAAAGGCCGTCAAATATTTTCAACAGTCACTAGAAATGAAACGTAGTATCTATGGTGAGGGCAACGCACATTCTGACATTGCCTCGTCACTAGGCAACTTGGGCAATGCCTGGAGTCACCTCGGTGATTACAGAAAGGCCGTCAGCTATCATGAACAGGCACTAGACATGAGGCGGAGTATCTTTGGTGAGGGCAAAGCACATCCTGACATCGCCTCGTCACTAGGCAACTTGGGCAATGCTTGGAGTGACCTTGGTGATTACAGAAAGGCCGTCAGCTATCATGAACAGGCACTAGACATGAGGCGGAGTATCTATGGTGAGGGCATAGCACATCCTAACATCGCTTTGTCACTAGGCAACTTGGGCAATGCCTGGAGTGACCTTGGTGATCACAGAAAGGCCGTCAGCTATTATGAACAGGCACTAGAGATGATGCGGAGTATCTATGGTGAGGGCAAAGCACATCCTGATATCGCCTCGTCACTAGGCAACTTGGGCAATGCCTGGAGTGACCTTGGTGATCACAGAAAGGCCGTCAGCTATTATGAACAGGCACTAGAGATGATGCAGAATATCTATGGTGAGGGCAACGCACATCCTGACATCGCCTCGTCACTAGGCAACTTAGGCAATGCCTGGAGTCACCTTGGTGATTACAGAAAGGCCGTCAACTATCATGAACAGGCACTAGAGATGAGGCGGAGTATCTATGGTGAGGACATTGCACATCCTGACATCGCGAACTCACTTATTAACTTGTGCGTTACCTGGACAGACTTTGGTGATCACATAATGGCCGCATCTTACTACGTTCAGTTTACACGGATAAAGCAGATGATTGATGGCACTTTTAGGCCCTGACATTGCTAATATACTGAAAAACTTTTTGTGTCCCAGAAATTGTGCAATAGCTACACAGAAAGCAGTTAAATAAGAATGTATCATCAACAATCATTATGAACTATGACGAATTTATATTGTTTTGAAAACGAAAGCGAACAGCAATGTTGTTTGGTATAAATTTGCCGTCACATTTTCCCGTTTTTTCAAAATATTGCAATATCCAGAAATGTACAAACATTGCAAGATTCAGCAATGTACATTTGGATACGTAGTATTGAAGGACCCACAACTGCATCGTTTTAAAAACCATCTTAATTCCACAATGATGTTCACCATCAATTAACTAATCCAATAGAATGTTTGAAACTAGTGAAAACTGTGGTCATTATGGTCAAGTAAACCGTATGGAGAAATCATGTAAAGTACAGAAATTGTAGCTTGCTCTAGTTGTTTAATTACACAATTGTTGGCAACGGTATAAAATGACAGTACAACGGGAAGTCAACATTCAGAAATCTTTTACCATGAAACGTTTTATCGCTTTCAGCAAGGACAAACTGTTTCCAACAAAACATTCCAATTCTATGCTATCAATGTGGATAACTGTGCAGTCATTTCGGTTAAATCTAAACAATAAGGGCTCCAAATGATCGTTTGAACTGTAATATGTAATGAGGTTGCTAGATGGCGCTACTGCACACATGGCAGGGATGGTATGAGTTTGAATGGTCACCAATAGTTGCCATGAGCAATATCTACCTACATAGAAACTACAGAAGTTTGGCAAAACGTCAATCAACGTTAGTCAAGCCTTTGTCCAAATTTGCAGTTTTCTTGACGTTGAAATTGAATTGCTGAATCTAATGAGATTTTGCTAAAATTAAATGTACCTGCACAAAATAAACTGCTCCTCCACTCACTTTGAAAGTGGCTGTACTAGAACCTTTGTTGTTAATGTTTTCTAGGAGAATTACTACAATGCATAACTATGCCGACTGTATAATGCACCAAGAAAATGCGAACTTTTAACACATTTTGGTATCTTACGCCAAAACCGTGAGATGCATTGTACCTTTCAATGAAACCAGTTCATTCTTTAACTTCTCTAAAGCGTTAACGGAATGTTGGATAATTGAAAGAATCATGCAACAGCAACTTCGAATTCCGGAAATAACAACGGAAACAGCTGAGAATTCTTGACAAAACGAGAGGAAATTTTAGTGGAAAGAAATCAGGTTGTTGAACAAAACTTTGCATCAATTATTAAAGTTCATGTCCGTTTACAAATTCAGACCAAAAGGTTCAGTTTAGATTCACAACGGACCCCTAGATGCCAAAACGTTATTGTGTTCATCAATTGCTAAAAAATGTAGGTTAAAAAGCTCTGGTTCAAATTTAACCCCACTTATTTGCACGCATGCACAAGGTATATTTCACAAATGAAGTATAACATTGTCAAATCAGTCCTCTGGCCCAAACATTTAAGGCGCCTCTTTCAGAGCCACGCGGACCAGTTCTTCCCATTACCAGCGCTTGATGTAGGTCCCGCGTTCCTTCTCATCTTATAACAACTTGCTGAGGGTCTTCTTAATGCCTTGTAGCTCCAATAAACTCAGTCCTCGTGTGTCCGGTAGCTCGTAAGATGTGCGATCGGGCACGGCAGCGGCAATGTTCTTAAGAACTGGGTACTGGAGAACTTTCGGAGTGGTGGTGGCGAGTTTGGACCGAAGGGATTCGGCATGAGCGAGAAACGTTTCCGCATAGTCTCTCAAGACGGAGCTCCGCCCACTGGCACAGCTGGTCGACTGACGACATCACCTCTTTATACTGTGGGTCTTCTGCTTCCTTGTGTTTGGGCGATGGGGTAGTTGCTGTAAGAGACGATCCTTCTCCCAGGGAAAACGTTGTCGTCTGATTGCATGCATCCTTGCCATTGTTGTCGGGCGCTTCCATCTCTTTTCCATGGACAACTGAAAGACTGTGGCGCTCTGTTACATCACCTTCTCCGGCAGCAGGACGTTTGTCTGCTGTATCTGGGTTTGAAGCTGGGAGGTCGAACGCCGAGCTTGTCGAAGACTCTGCGCTGACGACTGCGTTGTCGCCGGCAGCGGAGGGAGGTGAGCTGTCCTTGCCGCTGTCGGCCGATGGTGCGCCCGGCTGTTTTCCATGGGAAACATAGATCTTCCCATTCTCCGGCTCTGGTTTATCTTGCAGCTCCGTCTTGATGGTCCCCTCGGAAGTCTTGACTGGGTCTAAATAGAATAGACGCATTACAGGTGTTTTTGAGGACCTATTTTCAAAATTGAAATCATACATACATGGATTTCATCTTTTAGCTGGATTTAAGGAAAAAAATTTTCTGAAAATGCATATCTTCGTTTGAATAGTTCCACTGATTGAAAACGAAGCTTTAGCATAGAGTATGAAAAATGAAGAAGGGATCACTGTGCCGTTAGATGAATTCTATGACTTAAAGGTACCAAAACCAGTTAGCAGTAACAGTTGTACCAAATTTAAAGATGACTGTTATCATAACTTTGACATTGAGACATATGGGGTATTGGAGGTGCTTACAGTCATGTACAATTGTATATGAGGCTAGTCTTATAGCTAAGGTACAAATGTACTCATTAATTGGTAGTTGTCTTAACTATGAATCTTAAATCTTCACTTATTCTTTAAGATTTTTCGTAGAAAATCTGAACCGTTATGAAAACTGCTACTTTGTACCTTAGCATGAAAGTTCATCTGTGTTGGTATATAACATTATGATAACAGTTCAACTTTACTCAACCAACACCAAGGTGTTGGTTAAGTAAAGTTAAACTGTTATCATAATGCTACTTTGTACCTTTGTGTCAAGACTTTTTAAAGTCTAAAAAAATGTTTTCAAACTAGCTGGCTACATCACCCTTATTTTCAAATAAGACATTCCTATGATGATGTGGTTTTAACTACACTACACCAAGACCAAGACAAGTCCAATGATAGAAACAGGGGTGGTGTATAGAACGACAGGTGAATTTATACTTGCATAGTACGGGTAGTCTTCACACCTTGTCAGACACAAACACACGTCTTATGACTGAAAATCTACCTAAAAAGTTATGTTGTATCATTCTTATTCTTACGCCATCTCCTCCAAAACACCCCTCATTGACAGATAAATACGGGTTCTTTATCCCATCCCTGTCGGTTAATGGAACATTCCCAGGGGAATCCCCCTTCCGTAAAGGTGAGTCACGCCGGGGATTTCCGCTGTCGGGAACTTCCGCTTCCGCTGGTGCCAGTCGTGAGCTGAGACAGACCAACAGTTTTATCTCTAGATGGAAGCAAAAGGTGAGTTTTTACATAGATAAGGCCACAAACATTTATCATACATACAGCTGAGAATTCAAACTGAACACTTTAAAATTTCACGCAGTGTGAACCTATAGCTAGTGGGGATTAGGGCTTCGTAACAAGAATGTATTGCTGATTTGCTAGCCTGTCCCCCTCCCCTTGAAAATTATGAAAATTCACATTTGCGTACTCTACCCTTTTCTCAATAAATCATTAACAAGAATTCTAAATGTTTTCGGTGCACCTATCTGGGAATGTGTCAACTGCACTCGTGGCATTAGACTGATACGAGTAATTTTACTTCTAGCGTTATAGTATGTTTGTGGCATTTGCACACACAAGACCGCCATGCATTCTTCTTTCTTATATGCAGTGGAAAACGTAGATCTTTACGAAACTGAACAGGTGTGCAGGGCTGTATGTGTCCTGATCTGAGAAACAAGAACATCATACCTAAACCTCAGGCCTGTTAGACTTTAATGCGACGCGGTCATATTCGTCGTAGGTATACGTACTCGAACGAATTTAATGCCGACAAATTCTTCAGGCAGATCGTGATAGAACCAACACAAACTACATGACAGCCTTTTCCGGAACAAGACAGCTGGATTTTTGGAACACATGCATGACTTTCGCAGGAATGCCCTTAGTTTGTGATCGTGCGACGATTATATACGACATATGAGACCCAGCCCATGAAGTCACCGCATAGCTGTTGTCGATGTGGGTGTAATAACATACAGGACGCTAATGCTGAAGGTTTCGTGGTTAGCAGTTAGACCAAGTCATGTTCCTCTGTGAACATGCACTGGTTCTACGACTTCAGGGCTTTAGAGTGACACGTTATAGGCACAGAAACCAGGTCCATTTTTAATAGTCTGCTGTTGTGGTAACAGATGACAACAGGTTGTGTTTGAAGTATCAGGATGCACGACGTACAACATTAGCGTCTGACCAGTCAATGGCGGATGAGTGTCATATTACTGTTTACCTAATGTCAGGTTGACCCTGTAAATATTAGCGTTTAAACGCGTGTTGTTTTCTGGGGTAACGGCTGTAATACAGTAGATCGGAATAACAGTATACGTTTGGACCTCCTAGAAGCTTTCTCGGGAACTGCAAGTATGCTCAGCCGTGGACCCAGGAAAACGGAAGAAGGAATTTTTTCGTGAATATAAAGATTCGGAATCCCAATGAAAGATAAAACTCGTCGGCTGCCAGTTTAAGTTTTATCAAGCTTTTTTAAAGACATGCCCTCGGTGAACCATATATGATTGGTACAATATTTATTCTTCCTCAGGTCAATGAACCAGAGTGCGGTCGACAAAGATGTGTGCTCGTCGGGATATTAAAGAACTAAATAAGATAATGTGAAGACACTTGCGGACAAAACCTTCTATTTCGTATTTGATACACAAGGAAGACTATAATTGCATAACCAAAATGCATGTTCTGTATATTCAATTGACGATTGGAAATCCTACTTTTCGTTACATGCTACTAGGTTATTGTTAACAAATCGAGTTTCCATCTTTATTTTGTCTTCTTTCCGAAGAAACGCCAAGAAACCATGGAAACGGGACGAACCAGAAACAAGAAAGTTGGAAACAGCAGCAAAGAGAAACAGGAAGTCGCAGACAGGTTTGTCAGTTTGCTGTCATTTTAGTTTGCACGGACAAGATTAAACTGATGCTCAGCCTATTCACGGTATACTCTATGTCCCATGTCCTGTATCCCAGTATCAACAATTATAACTGCTTTTCTACAGAACGTACCAAGGCCACCTACAGGAAGGCTGCAGCGCCCTGCAGACAGGAGACCTGGAAACGGCAGAACGTAACTTTGCAGCTGCGCTCAAGGCCGTTCATGGGAAAGGTGAGGGATTCCGTGTACCTGTCACATGTTGACAATATTAATCTAGCTTTTATTAAAACCCACAAATTTTAGAAAAGGTGGGGCATTATTTCTTCCAAAGAGAAGTCAAACCCTTCAGACATAGTTTTAGACATAGCAATAGTTTTTGACAATTAGATTTCTTTATGTACATGTTGAAGTTATCTTATACTCTGTCAGGTCAGCAATGGAAAGAGACAGAGCCCCTTTGCAAGTTACGCGATGTCTACCTGACGAGAGGGGAGCAGTCAAAAGACGGAGGTGATTTCACCAAGGCTGCAGCACTCAGTAACGCAGCACTGGTGAGATCTAAGGCAGTAAACAAAGAGGGCATCAAACACAAAATACAGGAAATAACACAATCATTTGTTAAGCACGTTCTGAGTATCGAACAATCGGTACCCACGGATGACATAGAGAAACACAAATCGGTGTTAACACAACGTCGATGCTATGTTGAAGAAGAAATCAAAAGAATTGAGCAGCAGATAGATCCTTACAGCCTTGATGACAACGACCCAGAGATCATGGAAGTAGAAAAGAAGAGAGTGGAAGCAAACAAAGCCCTGTTTGACACTATTGTTCATCAGCGAAGAACATTCATAGCTGGCCTTGTAGATGAGTGTATGGAGGTTATGGGCTCCCCTCCCTGTAAGTACGCCATGATAGGACTGGGTTCACAGGCCACAGGATTAGTAACGCCATACTCCGATCTGGAGTTTGCTATTTTGATAGAGAAGGAAACAGAAAACAGTCTAGAATACTTTCAAAACCTCACATATTACCTTCATCTCAAAGTGATCAATCTTGGAGAAACCATTCTCCCGGCCATGGCGATCAAGTCTCTCAATGACTTCGAGTCAAATAACAAACTTGACAACTGGTTCTACGACTCTATAACGCCACGTGGCTTTTCTTTCGATGGAGCCATGCCACATGCATGTAAAACCCCACTAGGGAGAGGTAAAACATGCCTTCTTATTCGCACACCAAGCCACATGGCAAAATTTCTTGAAGATGACGTTAAGCTACATCTTAAGAAAGGCTACCACCTAGCGAGTGTGTTGGGAACTGTATCATTAATTACCGGAGAACAAGGCTTGGTCGACAAATACACCGTTGCATGGAATCAGCAACTGAAGAAAAATGGAAGTGAAATTGCCAGGCTACTAGCAAACACTATGTTGATGGAAAATACCGAGACTTTTGAAATGCAGAATCCAACTGCCCGAATGCTGAATGTAAAGAAAGAAGTTTATCGCTTTTCAAGCCTTGCTGTATCTTGTTGGGCACTGCTCTGTGACATACAGCCGACTACAATCTGGGAGACTATACAGACTATGTACAAGAAGGGTGCCATTAGTGATAAGAACGCACATCACTTAATGGTTCTGGTCAGCATCTCAGCAGAACTGAGGTTGCGAACTTACATGAACAATCGTGGTCAGGTGGAAAACATGTCAGTCTTGTCGTCAATGTCAGTCAATGATGACATTGAGGAAAAAGCCAAGAGAATTTTTCACTTCTCCAACGTAAAACAGCTCATGAGATACTACTACACGGCAACACCATTGAAGAACTTTGCTTCGCAACTTATCAACGGTCAACCAGTAGAAGAGCCATCAATTCTATTTGACGACTCTTTAATTCTGCAAGCAGATGTATACGAAAGTCTGTGCGACTACAACCAATCGAAGACATGCCTTGAACAGGCACTTCAAACAGAGCTATCAACACACGGAACGGGTGCGATTCATCCTCACATTGCTAGGTTACTGTATAAGATGGGCAACGCCTGGTATTACCTTGGTGATAACGGAAAAGCCGTCAACTATCACCAGCAGTCATTACAGATGACGCGGAGTATCTATTGTAAAGACAAAGCACATCATAATATCGCCTCGTCACTAAACGGCTTAGGTGCCGCCTGTAGTAACCTTGGTAATCACAGAAAGGCCGTCAGCTATTTCGAACAGGCACTTGAGATGAGGCGGAGTATCTATGGTGAGGGCAACGCACACCCTGATATCGCCTCGTCATTTAACAACTTGGGTATTGCCTGGAGGGAACTTGGTGATTACAGAAAGGCCGTCAGCTATTTCGAACAGGCACTTGAGATGAGGCGGAGTATCTATGGTGAGGGCAACGCACACCCTGATATCGCCTCGTCATTTAACAACTTGGGTATTGGCCTGGAGGGAACTTGGTGATTACAGAAAGGCCGTCAGCTATCAAGGTACAGGCACTAGAGATGATGCGGAGTATCTATGGTGAGGGCAACGCACACCCTGATATCGCCGCGTCACTTAACAACTTGGGTACCGCCTGGAAGGACACTTGGTGATCATAGAAAGGCCGTCAGCTATTATGAACAGGCACTAGAGATGAGGCGGAGTATCTATGGTGAGGGCATCGCACATCCTGATATCACCGGGTCACTTAACAACTTGGGTAATGCCTGGAGTGACCTTGGTTATCATATAAAGCTTTAAGGCCGTTAGCTATCAAGAACAGGCACTAGAGATGATGCGAAGTATCTATGGTGAGGGCAACGCACACCCTGATATCGCCTCGTCACTTAACAACTTGGGTAATGCCTGTAGTGACCTTGGTGATCGTAGAAAGGCCGTCAGCTATCATGAACAGGCACTAGAGATGATGCGAAGTATCTATGGTGAGGGCAACGCACACCCTGGTATCGCCTCGTCACTTAACCAACTTGGGGAATGCCTGGAGTCACCTTAGTGATTACAGAAAGGCCGTCATCTATCATGAACAGGCACTAGAGATGATGCGAAGTATCTATGGTGAGGACAACGCACATCCTGATATCGCGAACTCACTTAACAACTTGTGCGTTGCCTGGAGAGACTTTGGTGATCGCAGAAAGGCCGCCTCTTACTACGTTCAGTTTACACGGATAAAGCAGATGATTGATGGGACCTTTAGGCCCTGACATTGCTAATATACTGACGAACTTTTTTTGTCCCAGAAATGGTTCAATACCTACACAGAAATCAGTTTTAAAAATGAGAAAGTATCCTTAACAATCATTATGAACTTTGACGAATTTATGTTGTTTTGAAAACGAAAGCCAACAGCTATGCTGTTTGATATAAATTTGCCGTCACATGGTTCACGTTTTTCAAAACATTGCAAAATCCAGCAATGTACAAACATTGCAAGATCCATCAATGTACATTTGGATACGTAGTATTGAAGGACCCAGAACTTTATCGTTTTAAATACTAGTACTATTTTAATTCCACAATGATATTCACCATCAATTAACTAATAGAATGTTTGAAACTAGTGAAAACTATGGTCATCATGGTCAATTAAGGAAAACGTATGGAGAAATTGTTTTAGCT